TATGGAGGTATCCATAGGTCCTCATAGACTATCCTATAGGAGTACCCATAGGTCCTTATGAACTATTATATGGAGGTATCATAAGTCCTCATAGGCTATCCTATGGAGGTACTCATAGGTCCTCAAGAACTCTCCTATGGGGTACCCACAGGTCCTCAAGAGCTATCCAATGGGGGCACCCATAGGTCCTCAAGGGCTATCCTATGGGGTTCACATAGGTCCTCAAGGGCTACTCTATGGAGGTACCCATAGGTCCTCAAGGGCTATAAAATGGGGGTACGCACAGGTCCTCAAGACCTATCCTATGGGAGTACCCACATCCCTCAAGGGCTATCATATCGGGGTACCCACATCCCTCAAGGGCTATCATATGGGGGTACTCATAGGCTCTGAAGGGCTACCCTATGAGGTACCCGCAGGTGCTCAAGGGCTATCCTATGGGAGTACTCACACGCCCTCAAGGCCTATATTATGGCGGTACCCCAAGGGGGGAAAAGCAGATTTTGGCATCCATAATCTTTAAAATGTTCTAAAATCTTTCAAAATCTTTTGAATCAGACTCGACATTGGTGTTTCTTAGCTATTGTAAGGACAAGCAATAGTGTTAATCGGATGATATGAATGAGCAGCTCGGTTAACGCCCTCATCGGCCCGAACAACCCAATGTTTTGACCTTAAGATATAAGAAAAAAACCGTGCTGAAATCTGATTGGTTGAGAGCCTTTTTGTATTGACCAATCAGATTCAAGGAAGCTGTTTCTCTGCTATTGTAACGACAAAACCTGCCCATGTTCGGGTCAAACGAAAGAGGACCCCGGATAACGCTAAGCTTGGTCGGAGCAATTCGGTTTTGTCTTAACAATGGAGGGAAAACTCTGCTGAGATCTGATTGGTTGACAGCTTTCTTCCATCGGCCAATCAGATTGCGAGAAGCTGTGTCTCGGCTATTGGATGGGCAAGACATACGGTTATTCGGGTCATATGAAAGAGTACCCCAGAAAACCCCCTGATCAGCCCGAACCACAACATGTTTGTCCTTACAATAACTGAGAAAGAGCTTCCTCAAATATGACTGGTGGATTATCAAACAATCAGATTTTAGTACGTTTTTTTCCTCTATTATGAGGGCAAAGCATGGAAATGTTCTAGCCAATCTTGGGATTATCTGGGGCCCTCTTTCATTTGACTCGAACATGAGTAGGTTTTCCCTTACAATAGCTGTGAGTGTTCGAAATGAGGTCACAACAATCAACGTGAATTGACCCGAGTCGGGTGAAACTCGCTTTCATTGTTGCGACCTCATGTCGGACACTGATAGCTGTGAAACAGCATCTCGCAATCTGATTGGCCGACAGAAAAAAGGTATCAATCAATAAGATTTCCGCATGGATTTTCCCCACTATTGTTAGGACAAAACATGAGGTTGTTCGGGCAGTCCTGGGGTTCTCCGGGATCTTCTATCACATGGCTCGAACATCGGTGCGCTTTATTCGTACAATAGCTGTGAAACAGCTTCCTCGAATATAATTGGTCGATGCTTGGGATATAGAGATTACGCTCATGAGCGCTCATATAAGGGCTCCCGAGCTTGAACTGGGCAGCCGTAAAGAACACTAGCGAAAACGAGTTGACCCTTATGACTAACTACCATACCGGAAGTACAAAAGAAACGCTCGGACTCATATGAGCGTGGACAGATTTCATAAAACTGGTATCTCTTGAAATCTCCCAAAATCTCTCAAATCTCTCAAAATCTTTGAAAATCCCAAAATCTCCCTTTTCCCCCTTTGGCGTACCCCATAGGATTGGTGTTGAGGACCTACGGGTACTTCTATACGATAGGCGTTCAGGTCCTATGGGTAGGGCCATACGATAGCCCTTAAGGACCTGTAGGTATCACGTTATTATGGTACTTCAGGACCTGAGGGTTCCCCCGTAGGATAGCCCTAGAGGATCGGTGGGGACCCCCCCCCGCCCATAGGATAGCCCTTGAGGACCTGTGGGTACCCCATAGGGTAGCCCTTTAGGGCCTATGAGTAACTCCATAGGATAGCCCTGGAGGACCTCTGGGTACCCCATAGGATAGCCCTTGAGGACCTGTGGGTACTCCATTAGGATAGGCCCTGGGATAAAACATGAACTCCAAATGTTATCTTAAGCACTCAAATCCCAAACCCAAATCTACAACCAAATCCAAATCCATACCAAATCCAAATCTATACCAAATCCGAATCGTTTCTTATTAATTTTGAAGACTTTCGATTCTTTTCGTTCTTTTGGTACTTTGTTTTAGAGCGCTTCATCGGATTTGGATAATTTGAGGCCAAACCCAAACCCAAATCCAAATCCAAGTCCAAATGAAACCCAAATCTTTTTACACCGAATCCCAAAGGTTTGGATTTGTTGCACCTCTACTTGCTAATTGAAATTCTTGAACCCGACGTGTATAAACACTAGGGTCACGATTAGCAGAATTTTTTTCTTTCTTATTATTAATAGCTTCATAACAATGCTCATTCCATTTTTGTTTATGCTGCCCTTCATACTTATAATCACAACGATCATGTAAAAATTTACAATTATCGCCAAAACCACAAAACCTGAAATAAATAATAATTATATTATTATATATAAAACGAAATTTCGATTGCCGCAAACCTTTTCTCTTATAAAACGTACAAATTTCAGGTTGGTTATTATCACGAACTGATGCATGAAGATGAGCTGGTGTCCGTATTGGACCTGAAAAAAAAAATAATAACAAAAAACAAATCAAATAAAAATAAAAATTTATCTTACCTTTATTGCAAACAAGACCACTGCTTGCATTTTCCTTAACAGTATCTTTTTTTTCATAAAATTCTTTATAATTATTCATATCACGATAAATTTTATCATCGTCTTTGTCTTTTAATTCTTCATTTATTTTTTTTGCACCTTCAAATATAGCTTGTTGATCATGTTGTTTATCAGTATCAATTTCAATTGTAGCTGTTGTACCCATATCTTTTGGATCTTGTGATTGTACTTGTCGATCAAATTTATATTTAACAACAATTGAATTTTCTTTTTTATTAAAATTTATTTCTATGAAAATTATCTTCATCATCATATTTATTATGTTGTTTATGATGTTTATTTGATGAATTATCAAGTACTCCTACGAGATCTTTTCGTTTTCTTTTCATATAACAGTATGCTGGTGTTGATGGTAAGTTTTCATCATTTGATGATGAAGAATCTCGACGATGTTTTAATGAACTTTTAATAGTTTTATGATTAATAGAAGTTTTAAAAACAACATTAGTAGCTTTGCTATTAATATCAGTGTTCATCATCTAAAAGAAGAAAAACAAGACAAAAAAATATATAACATTTAAATAAAAGATAATTAAATAAATATTCTTTTCTATTTGATTTTTCTAAAAAATAAAATAATAAACAAACTATTAGTTGTTATGTGTATCGATTTATTGAATGAATCTTAAATCAAAAATAATAAACCAAATTCAATATGAACAAATGAAACAATAAATAAATTTATCAAAATTTTATTGCAAACAAAATTACTAGTTTGTATTAGTTTGTGAAATATCTTTTCTTCTTCTTATAAAATTTTTCATAATTGTTCATAGTACAATAAATTTTTCTCATGGACGT